CCACGGATCTGCTTCAGTGCACAATGCAACAAAGTAAGGAGCTCAAGGGGTGTTATGGTTGAGGGGGTACTCAGGGAAGATGGGTCTCGGTCAACAGATATGATTTAGATTGAATCTCCTAAGTGCATGTACACGATTGACATGTTACTGTCTAACAAAACAATCTAAAAAGTGCAAACACTTTTTCTTTTTTAATGAGAGCTTTGTTTAGAAACTATTTCCCAGGGTGGGTTCAGGAACACAGATGCTGCTCATCATCCAGTCCACCAGGATTAGTCAACATCTCCCTTCAGTTCTCAATTGCAAAATAACTTAAAATGCTTACTTCCTGCTCATGACTTTTGGAATCACATTGATGAAAATGGGCCTCCACATTGACCCAGATGTGGTTTTTGAGTGTATTTTGGCTTGTTTGCCTGTACTTTTCCAACATGAATAGCTTAATATTCCCACTAACTGACCTGCAAGCTAATGATTGCGTCTCTGGAAGAAGACCCTGAGTGATCCACATTTAGAAAACACATTTCTAATGCAGGACTCTGCTCTTCTATTTCCTTGGCATTGGTTTATTCTGCTACCAGGAAATGGACATTCAGCTGCCATACTGAGATTGGTAGGTGAATGGCTCACCCAGCAGTGGGTTGGCTGCTGCTGTAAGGACATCAACATCCATTCATTGCTCTTTTGGTTGGTATTACTGAATAAGAGCAGCAGTGATAAGATTGAAATTATATATAATGCAAAGATCGCAAACCACGCTTGGATAGGTTTAAGTATTCTGACCAATCATTTTTATACCCAAATTTTTTAAATATACCTGAGCACAAAACATTAAAAAATGTTTATCTCTCACTGGCAAAAAATTACCCCCACCCCCATTACTCATTTGAATCAAAATACCTTCAATGAGATGCACATCTTTCAGCCACTTTTACTTATTATTGTTTCATCTACAAGCTGAATATTAACCCTATGCCTTTTGGTTTGAGCTGAAGCACGAGTTTGAAATGGCAGTTTTAGGACCAAATGTATTGCAAAGTTTATATTGCAGATCATTCTCAGTTGTCTCCACAAATATCTCATTTCTGCTTGCAGCTGTTTTTCATATACATCATCCTGTGCCAGTGCTCGTAGATAATATTTCCTTGTGCATGCATCAAATTGCCATTGCAAAAGAAACCCTGTGTTTTGGCAACCAGTGTGACCCAACATTGATACTGTTGATCACAAATCCATAATCATAAAACTGTCTGTCACATTTGCTCCATGTAAATGGTTGGGTGTGTTTAGATTGACACTGTGGAGGAGAAAAATGGTAAAAGCCTGGAATGTGAGGCATGTAAAGCTAGATTGGTGTTGATGCTCTGTGTGGCCATGGGAGACCTTTTCACTGACAGTGACGGTAACGGGCTATGAGAAGGTCAATGGCTGAGAGTCTCTGCTGATCGCGGTTGCAATGTTTTGTCAAAGCAGCTTAAGCCTTTTTCTTTACATAAAGCATTTTTGAAGCCTTTCTTATAATACTGCCATGATGTTGCGTTATTGTCTCATCCTGCTGTCTCCCAGTTAACATTTCTTCAGATCGGATGGAAGTCTCACATAATTATAGATATGGTGGAAAGACTTTCAAAAGATTAACTTTTGCACCTTTATGTTACATAATGAACATCAATACCTTTGAAGGAAAATGACAAAGAAATGGGAGGTTAAGTTACATAGGATGTTCGCTTAAATTCAGTCATTACAACAGATTTACTTTGTTCTGGCAAATTCAAATCCTCAAAGAATATAAAAGGCCTTGCATGTATTCATCTGACACACTAATGAAGACAGATGTGTGGCTAAACCTGCAAGTTTCAGACGACGTTTTAAGTTCACCTTTCATCTAAACAAGTAATACATTCTCATTTGATGAAGTAGTCTGCCTGGTTAAACCAGAAACAAGTACAGACTCATTTTTAATGGGGTAACAGTGGTTCATCATTTTAATGGATGGGACTCTCCCACTCTCTATATCATATTTAAAGAAACACAGATGCCCTTCCTCTGCTGAGGAATCACTACAACCTGTATCCACCCCCCCCCTGTATGTGAACAATGGCCGGTGGCTCACGTATACTTCCAATTAACGGCTCTTTAAGGACTTCAAAGGTTGTCAATGAGGGGCTAAAAGTCTGTAAACAGGAAGTGTTTGCTAGCACCTTGGTTGTGACCCTCTAAACAAGTAAATAGCTGGTATTGATGACAGAGATGAAAGAAAAGACTGGCACACAATCTTGTCTTCTGACCCAATACAAAAGAGGACATAGTTTAACTGTTATTTAGGCAATCATGATACAACGTGTATACTATATAAAATTCACCTTTTTAGTAAATTTAGTTGAACCAGTGTCCATAGAAGTGTATAAATCATTCTAAACCTATAGAGTGGACAAAGGACTTGTTAAACCAACACAACTTGCAGCATCTGCTGTACAGAGAAACCCCATATACAGCTTAAAGACCACCACAAGCAGTGACCTGAGTCTGCAAACAGTGGTGCTCTAGAGAAAACAAAACAACACCACATGTTGCTAGAAAATGGGCTCCAAAATCAGTGCCCGCAGTCTTATTACAAAGAATATAACTTTTTTTTTTTTAAGTTCAGACCGTAGGCATTGTTTGAATACTTTTTTCACAATTAGGGCTTATTTTGCCACCCATAAGATAGAAAAACACTGCAGTACCATCCTTTACATACATTTTGTTTAGTGAACTTGAATAAGAATAATTTAGATTATTTAATTGCCACAATACAGTTTCAGCTAATTCCATTCCAATAGGTCATTTTGTTCAAGTTTTGGGTTTACACTATTGGGCCACGTTTACACGGAGACGTAACGGAGACAAAAACGAACCTTAGTCGATATCAAAAAAGGCTTCCGTCCACACGAGACCGCTGGAGACGCTGTAGTACATATGCAAGGCCTGTAAGTGGCGCTGTACTGTGGTTGCCATGGTTGCCTCGTTGCCCTTCTGTTTATTCTCCGCGGTGGATTTAGCAACATGTAGTTAATGTAGTTCATGTAGTTCTCCATGTCCACTTGTTGCTGATGGTTGTGGTAGAGGAGCTGTAGATTTTTGCACAAACATCTATAGCATGGTCAGTAGCGTCTGGAGCACGAAAGCAACCCTGTGATCTGCCGTTGTTGTTGTTGTTGTTGTTGGCGAAACACATCAGCAATGACGCGGGCAGGGTGCTCCGATCGCCAATTTTGGGGCCGATCGCCGGAATCAGTATCATCCGATCGAGTAAACTCAGTTAATGGGGCTCATTCACTGGTGCTTCCACAAACAACAACCAACATAATTATTATATTCAAATGAAGTACATTATTCAAGTTTACATTAACTTTGGATAGTAACACGGTAGAAATTAGCGGAAGCACTCTCTTTTCCTCTCTCCCCCTCTCTCTCTCTGTCAAAGATCTCATGCACCTCACTGATCCAGTAATGAGTAACCCGACAGTGAAGAATAAATATATTTATAACTAGTTTATCTTGTTGCAGAGGTAGATAAAATAGCTTAGTGTGTTAGGTCTAATTGATAGTGTGTGTTTCGCTTCACTCACTGGTCCGTCACAGCGGGTGGAGCTGCAGGATTTCTGCTTCACACACGTTGCATACGGCTATTTTATTGTCATTTTCGGATACCTTAAAATACTGCCAGACTGTTGAAGCCATTTTGGAGAGCTTGTTTTGCCGTGCACAGAAAAAAGTGTCATGTATTTTACGTCATCATTTTACGTAATGCGATCGGCTCTCGCAACCGGCATTTTTAGAGAGCACCGATCGATCGGCACAGAGTGACTATCGGCCGATCCCGAGCTGCTCCCAGCAGCTTCTACTGAAGCCAGTCCCCAGTCACTCTGTGCCGATCGATCGGTGCTCTCTAAAAATGCCGGTTGCGAGNTATGCCCATGATAAATTGCCTTAGCTAAACCTTAAGCTTACTTATCCATTAACTAGTAGCCATAGTTAACTATATTTGTTATTGTCTTTTAGCTAATTAGCTAGGGAAGGAGGGAGGGTAGAGAGAGCATAGGACCTTCTTTTTTTAATTTTGTATTCAACCAATATATTTTTGGTAAGGGAAACTGCACAAACAGCAGTAGATATATATTCATTTATAATAAAAAAAAAAAGGGAGAAAAAAGGGCACTTTCTCTGGAGGAAGAAAAAGGGCAGGGGCTCAAGCCCACTTTGATGTCTATGTGTGCACATGCCTGAACCTATTAATTTTTCATACCCACTTAACGGGAAGAAACTCAGCGAATTGACGATACGAACCATTTTTACCGAAACAAAACACAAGGAAATGGACCCTGAGCAAAAAAATGCTAACGCACAGAACTCACGGTACAATACTTTATTACTTATCGGTAGGGATGCTCTGATCGATTGGCCGCCGATCGATATCGGCCGATATTCACTCTGCAGATCGATCGGTGCTCTCTATAAAGGCAGATCGTGAGAGCCGATCGCATTACGTAAAATGATGACGTAAAATACATGACACTTTTCTCTGTGCGCGGCAAAACAAGCTCGCCAANTCACTGCTCTAGAGGAGATCTGCATGGAGGAATGGGCCAAAATACCAGCAACAGTGTGTGAAAACCTTGTGAAGACTTACAGAAAACGTTTGACCTCTGTCATTGCCAACAAAGGGTATATAACAAAGTATTGAGATGAACTTTTGTTATTGACCAAATACTTATTTTCCACCATAATTTGCAAATAAATTCTTTAAAAATCAGACAATGTGATTTTTCTCATTTTGTCTCTCATAGTTGAGGTATACCTAGGATGAAAATTACAGGCCTCTCTCATATTTTTAAGTGGGAGAACTTGCACAATTGGTGGCTGACTAAATACTTTTTTGCCCCCTATATATATATATATATATAATCCTTTGTGTTCTTGAGATCAAGTTATCACAATTGACTTTATTTATTTCCAGATGATTCCTCCGAGGGGTTGTGCCTATATTGCTATGGTTCATAGACAAGATGCCAATACAGCATTAACCAAACTCAGCAGGGGCTCATACAAAGTCAATCAGAAACCTGTAAAGGTACATAAACATTTTATTTAATTATTTCCATTGTTATATTTGTTCTAGTGGTGATCTTTAACTTTCATTCTTGCTTAGATTGCTTGGGCTTTGAACAAAGGTATTAAATCAGCGCACAAAAAGTTCTGGGATGTTGAACGTGGAGTTACCTACATCCCGTGGAATAAAGTCAAAGTTGACGAGTTGGAGACCTATCGGGAAGGGGGGATGCTGGACGTGGAGACACTAAATACAGGTAAACACTTACCCATACCCTAAGCATGGCCAATATTTACCTGCTGCTGGCTATTGGACCTTTTTTCTCTCTAACGTTATCATGTATGTTCCATTGTGCACAGAGTGGAATTATGGCAAGGACATCAATAACAAGGCAGCTGTAAATGGAGACTTGGAGAGTGTCCCAGCAGATGGAACCATCACTGCTCACATTCAGGTAATGTTAATAGTCTTTAAACATTCTTTCTGATCTAAATCTGCTCATTTGTTCTGGTATATTGGCCTTGGTATTGGATGCTTACTTCACAAGAGTTCTTGTGGAGGCTGTAAGGAAAATACATTATTGTTGCATATAAGTATTGGAGCTTATCTGAACCACCCACTTATCTTTTTCAAAACCAAGTCACTGCAGACGTGCTAACAACTTTTAAATAAAATAGGAAATAGTAAGATGGAGCCATACAGGAAAATGTTAAAAATACATCATCAGGAAGACATTCTCTGCCAATCAAGGTTTACACATGGCAGCTGTCTAAGGCTTCAAAAAACGTTCAATAGGACTAGTATCATGGAACAGGGGAAATACCCATTCCTACAATATTTGCAGTTCAGTGAAAGCACAGTTGGGTCATACATTACCATCTGAACATTACTGATGCCTTTGCTATTTTAATGTTGAAAGTAAAGGGCATTTCATGCAGATATGCTCGCTATTTTAAGCAAAATACAGATACAAAACATTTATGATGATTTTCAGTTTCAGACGTTTGCCATACATCTGTAGAATTAACTCAGTATTGATGCTTTCACCCACTGGCTTATTTAGCAGTCATTTGAAAACTGACTTCCATCTGGTGTTGAGTAGGGAGCTTGACCCATGTCATATTAAGGTATCTCAAAGCGGCCGTAAACAGTCAAATGTTACAACGTACTGCCCAAGACTTAGAAAACCTTCTCAGTATTTTCAATGCTATCTGAGTATTTGGGAGTGCTGAATTAAAGGGAGAGATTGTCATGTTTGTGTCCTGAATAAATATCACAGTATTTACTCTTAAGAGGGGTTTTCATCATGTGACTCATTGTTTACTTCATCATGGGTGGTTTCAGAGTGATTAAATAAAAGTCAAATCTGGTGATTTCTTTTATACATCCGACCACAATTCAGATAAGCTCTTCTGCTGATAGGCATTACATCCAGTAATGCTTATTCATACGTTTTTCTTTTCCTTTTATAAGAATTTGCATCTTCACTCAGTAACCGTGTACTGTGCAGTATAATTTATTCAAATAAAGTGGGAATTATAAAAAACTTTACTGTGGTATGTGTAGACGGAAGCATTTATGTGATCCTTTCTCTGTTCGGTATTTGACCTCTATAATACAGAATGTCTAGGTTTGGCAAGGTTGCCGGTAATTGTTTAAACAATGTTTAGTTTTAGTATCCAATTGCAAACAAATTGTAGAATGACAAACATATTTATAATATATAGTTGAGGTAAAATGTGTTTTGGTTGCAATGAGGTGAATCCTGAACTCAAGAATATACCAACTGATATTGAGTTGAAATTCAATTAAAGCACATCTCTGACGGGTCAACATCTAAGTTTTAGTATTAGCAGTTTTGCAAACATTTCAAAGCCAATTACAAATTCATGACCACATTATGCCGAAAAATCCAGCTGCACTGTCTGCTACCTGCCATACTTGGCGTGCGTGCTCAACGGCACTCCTCTGTGAAGAAAGGTTGCTCACATGTCTTGCGGTCGAGAGTTTCTGAGTGCTGTCGGCTGCTGGTGGGACTTAAGGGCCTGATTGGGAGGAAGTGTCCAAGTGGGAGACAAGGTAAGCCGAGAGCGTCATTAGCAACACCATGCAAACTGAACAGGAAGAATGATTGTTGTTTGTTGAGATGTTTTGGCAATGGGAATATTGCCTCAGAAAGCAAGGCCTAGGCCATTGTTCAGACCCTGTGTCCATGTAATGCAGTTCATTCAGCAGGTCTCTGTGCTTTACTTTAAACTGGACAGTGTAAGACAGGATCTTCAGTGTCTGCTGTTATTTACTCTCCAAAGTCCAAAGCGGCCCAACTACTCAAATCATTTGTGTGGCTCAGTCTTGAATATTAACAAAGCTCAGTATTCCTGTTGAATTGTTGAATTGTTAGCCTATCACCTGATAATGAACAGAAAAATAACGTGGCTCTTGTTTAGCTTACTTTAATTCTCAATGTAAAATATGATCAAGAAATAATTATAGCTAAGCCATCCTACAATGGTCTGTTTTTAACACATGCATTTGACCTTAATATTCAGGTTCAAACCTGTGCAAGAAAGTCATGGCAAAAGTATTGAGGTTGGAGGAAATGAGTACTGCTCAGGCCTAACCCTATTTTTGATGACAATCTTCTTAAAAGTTGAAAGCTGTGTTCCTCACACTCAGATGATTTTCTTGTTACCCAACAACCCAAAAAATAGTTTTAGTTGTATTATTGCCTGTGGATTAAATGTTTTTATTTAGATTAATACCATTTCATGGAGTTGCAAGATTAAAATCATTCATTGGCACTTACACTTATTTGGATTAACCCTTTGTTTTTGCCGTAATGAAGGGTTGTGCCCAATTGTCAACTTTCTCAATCATGTTATATAAATATGTATTCTGTTTGTGGCCAAAATTGTCCTAGCAACTGTAAAAAATGCATGATTTCATTATTGTTGTTGTTCTTACTGAGGAACTGCCAGGTCAGTGAGCCGGTTCCTAATACTGTGGAACTTCCCCAAACCCTTTCAAATGTCCTCCTCATTGAGAAGCTTTCAGTCCAAGGGACTGATTTCATTTATTACGCTATGCCATGAAAACCTACCCATTCCTCTGCTTTGCATTTGTGTAGTTCTAGACCTGAAGTTTGCATGCAAAAATAACATGCAACATGACCACACCTGCCAGTCACTTTATACTAAAGAATATAAAATATACATGCGAGCAACAGATCTAAAAGCACTGTTTTGATGACTAGAATAATATGATGTCTTCTATGCATCAGCCATATCTTAAGTCAGCCAATATGTATAACTGCATTTCATCAAGCTCTCCATCTTCTTGAGGTTTGTTTATATTTTATTTCACCAGTTAAAAGCTGCCATATTTTCTGTCTAATTATTTGACAAACAAAATGCTAATTTTGAATGTTAGTTAAGTCTTGAAGTGTTAAGCCTCGCTGTTTTTCTGAATTCTTTGCATTATGGGATTTTATAGAAATCTGCACATAGGCCTTCTAAATCCTCAGCATTATCACCTTATTAATTTTGTATCCAACACTACACAAATTGGTCAGGCAGCCGGTGGCAAACATAATGAGTACTGAACTTTCTTTATTTTCAAGGAAATGCCCCTGTGATATCATTTTTGGGATTAAAGAAAGGACATTTGTTATTACCAGACATAATACTAACCGCCACCATCTTTGGCAGGTTTGGCCTTTTTGGTGTAGGTCATGGCACCTGCCACGTGAATTGTGCAAATTTAAAGATGTTTTTTCCTTCAGAGATACCTCATTTATGCATATACAGGTTTGACCTTCTGCGCTCTGCCTGTGCACATCTTATAAAGCATTATATAATACTTGGAAAGTAATGCAAAACCCTTTTTAGTTTTCAGTTATCTAGCAATCTATGACATTGTTCCGATCTGTTGAGCATTGTAAGGAGCAGCGACTTATGCTTTGTTTGGCCCGGTCTCATGTAAGTTAACTAAGCCTGCATCGAATGACTTGTATGAAAACACACACACACACACACCATTTTGTTCTATGTATGTTGTCGAACACACAAACAGTGCCATGGCACACGTGTAAGTGTCGAGACATGCAGCTCTCCTTTCTTTCAACTCGTCCACACTCCAAGAAAGTGCAATTTCTTCAAATTCGCTGCCTGGATGGGGACATCCTAGCTTCTGTACCCTGTCTGGCTCTTCTGTTTGTATGGCAGGTTTGGTGTGTGGTACAGGTGTCAAATGACACCAACTACTTTGACGTGGTGTGTGTTTTGCTCTAAGAGGATGGTGTTTTACTGTCAGCAATCTGCTAGTGCAGCAAATAAGGAGAGAAGTGGTCTGGGATGAAAATAAATAATTCACCTGAAAAAGCAGAAATACTCCCATGGACTTTTCTACAGTGGTTTGTGGGACTGAACTTTGTAAAAATGTCTTAATATTGGTTTGATTACAAAAAAAGTCTTTTAACCACAAGGCTAAGGGCTTGATTATTTATCCTTAGGGTCAGGCGGTCTGATTTAATTCGTATTACCCTGTGTTTCATTGGAAGGTCAGAAGAAGAATATCAGACGTTTACTTCTAACACTCTTAAAAAAATCTTGACCCAGGATGTTTTCATCCCTTGGTCCATGTTTGGTAGCATATTGAGCTGTTTTCAGTGGAATTATAACCAGACATTACAGGATTTTTCAAATGCAACTGTTAGCCATTCATCCTACAGGTAACGAGGCATGTTGAAGTAAAGTGGATACATCCTTTGGTTGCAAATGTTGCCGTCCCTCGGAATGAAGTGGATAAGGTAAAAAATTAAGGTCTAAGCCAAGGGTGTTACTTTTTATTTAGAACATGATAAACAACGATTATGAAAGGTGAAAATTACTTATGTAGTTTACATGGTGAGCATATATCATAATGTCACTGAATATTTAAATGGTCCCACTATTATTGTTATTTATTTACCTTTTGAGAACTCTTTGTTATAGTTAAAAGAAAACCAAATCAAATGAATAGATTGCACTTTCATTTCTCAGTATAGCTTTTCACATTTTCTTAGTAATACTTTTGCAAAACCTTCAAAATATAAATACAAAAATATTTGTATAATCTTTTTGTCAGTCTTTGAGGGACTGAGAAGGCCCAGTTGAAAGAAGATTAATATATAAAAAAGCATCAAAATAACATTTATGTTTACCAAATAGCTGCAGAATTGTTAATAATTAAAAGGGGCTTTTAAATTCAACATTTTTAACGTCCTCTAGTCTGATTTAAAATAGAACATTTAGGAGATTCGGATGTCGTGTTGTAAATCTGCTAGCTGCTGCATTTCTTTGTTAAGCTTGATACTTTGCATTTAGACATCACAGATCTGACTAAGCCTCTGGTTAATGTATCTCAGTCTGTAACGTAGATTATTATATAAACTGAACAGTTTTCTCCTTTCAGTCG